GAGGCTAGGAGAAGATCATTGGTGACTTTCACCAGTGCGGTTTCTGTACTATGATGGACTCTAAATCCTGACTGAACATCCTCAAACAAATCATTCTTGTGCAAGTGGTCACATAACTGCTTTGCTACAGCTTTTTCAAGGATTTTGGAAATAAATGGGAGATTGGATATTGGTCTATAATTAGCTAGGACACCTGGGTCAAGAGTAGGCTTTTTGAGTAGAGGTTTAATTACTGCAAGTTTAAAAGCCTGTGGAACATAACCTGTTAATAGAGAGAGGTTAATCAGATCTAGTATGGATGTGTTGATTAGGGGAAAGACGTCTTTGAGCAGCCTGGTCGGGATGGGGTCCAGGAGACATGCTGATTATTTAGATGAAGCAATTGTTGAGGTCAACTCAGAGAGATCTATGGGAGAGAAGTAGTCCAAGTATAAATGAGGTCTTACAGATGTTTCTAAAGCCATTGTATTAGATGGCACATCTGCGAGAGCTGTGGGAGTGGTCTGACCAATTTTTTCTCTAATAGTTGTGATTTTATTTGTAATGAAGCTCATGAAGTCATTGCTGCTGAGATCTAAGGGAATGTTAATCTCAACAGCACTATGTACGTGCACATTGAGAGCTGCTGTACCAGAGTCAAATTCCTCGTGTCCAACACACCTGGCCAATAAAACTGATTCTGATTCTGATTCTGATTCTGGCATGTTGTGCGGCAGCCCAGATGCAGCATCAATTGTCATTTACTATGACACACTGTACAAGATAATACAATCAATTGCCAAAAATACAGTCAAGTAAAAACGCTATTTTTCTCTGGCATGTAAAGTAGAAACTCTGACAAAATGAGTTCAGTTCCAACCAATATGTTTTAGTACAGAATTCATACTCGGTACTTTCACATACCCCCAGACTTGTGTTTAATTGTTTCCCCTTACATACGCATAGCCAACAGCAGACATCACTACTAATTCGAAGTTGAATCATGGCAACTGGACTTCTTTCTTGTTTGTTTAAAATGTTTCACTACTCACCAAGTACCTTCTTCACTACTCTTGATGCCAGTGAAATCAGATCATGCACTTAAAGTCACAAGAAAAAGCAATGGCACTGTTTACAATTTCCTGGTTTTCTGCATAAATTTGTCATGAACTGTGACCTGATCTTCACCAAAACACAAATATCAACAAACACAATATTTCTAAGCTGATAAAACACAAACAGTCCTGATCTTTCATGTCTTTATTGAACACACCCATTAAACATAAACAGTGATGGTAGACAAAGTCATGGCTGCACCAGGCTTCTGATGTCACTAAAGGTCAGAGTCAGTGATTTTCATGTAGCTGAAAAGGTCACCTCACGGACTTGTATTCATCAGGAATTTCCCAGTTGCAGGATCAATAAAGTCCAGCCTACCTCCCTACCAGTTCATAGTTAGGACATACTGTCTATAAATGGCCACTTTCCATAGAAATGGGTGCCCAGCCAAGATCTGTCCAAAGGCACAAGGCAGAATGCTCAGTGAGGTAAAAAAAAATTCGTTAGAGTTGGTTAACATCTCTGTTCATGAGTCATCCATATGCAAAATCCTGAACAGGCATGGTTACCATGGCAGGACACCATGGAGGAAGCCACTGCTCTCCAAAAACAAGACTGCAGCAGCCTGACCAGCTTGACCCTCCACAGCACTACTGGGAAAATATCCTGTGGACAGATGAAACAAGGTAGAGCTGTCTGGGAAGAGCACACAGCGCTACATATGGCATGAAGCGAACCGTGTGCCAACATGAAAACATCCCAGCAGTGAAGTCCAGTGGAGGAGCATCATAATGTGGGGCTGCTCTGCTGCCTCTGGACCTGGACCACTTGTCGCTGTGGAGGGAAAATGAACTCTCCAGTTTATCCAAGTGCCCTACAGGAAGATGTTGGGGTGGCTGTCGGCAGACTAAAGCTCAGAACAATGTCCCTAAACAATGAAGTAAGTCCACTACACAATGGCTTTGGAGACACAAAACGCACCTATTGGACCGGCCCAGTCAGATCAGACCTCAGCCCAGTAGATACCCTGTGGAACGACCTGAAGACGTTCACACCAGACGTCCTGAGAATATGTCTGAGCTGAAGCAGCTCTGTCAGGAAGAACAGTCCGAAGCTCCTCCTGAACGTGGTGCAGGTCTGATCCACAGCCACAGGAAGCGCTGGCTGGGGGGCGTTGGTGACAAAGGTGGTTCAACCAGTTATTACAACACAGTTGTCATGACTTGGTCCACATCAGTGTGTGTGTTTAACGTGTTCAATAAAGACATGAAGGATCAGGACTGATTGTGTTTTATCTGCTTAGAAACATTGTGTTTGTTTTTATTTGTGACTTTGGTGAAGATCAGGTCACAGTTCATGACCAGTTTATACAGAAAACGGGAAACTGCAAACAGTGCCATTAGTTTTTCTTGCAACCGTATTTCTCTTAGTCAACCTGATCAGACCTTTTGGATGATCTGCACTTTACAACAGAAGGTAATAAATAGACTTTTACATATGATGTTGATTTTGGACATTTTGAGTCCGTAAATTACAGGATTAAAGAGCGGCGGACATGTCAGGAAGTACAATGATAAAAAAATGTAAAACATGTTTGGTACACTACTCATATTAAACCTCTTTTGTATTACTTCAAAGCAAACTCCAAAAGAATAGTTCAGCAGAGTAACAAGGTGAGGTGTGCAGGTACTGACAGCTTTCTGTCTGGTCTCTTTAGAGCCAGAGAAACAGACTCTAAGGATCCTGATGTACGTGTAAAGGATTAAAATGGAAGGACCAAACACTGTGAGAAAAGCTGCCATAAGTCCATAGATGTTATTTACACTGGTGTCAGAGCAGGCCAATTTGATAATGGAGTAGTTGTCACAGTAAACCTTGTTAATTATGTTTCCACACAGCTGTAAAGGAGCATTCAATGATATCATTGTAACAATGATAAGAAAAGAGTATAACCATGCTGCTGCAATAAGCACGACAACCTTGGTGAAAGTCATGCGTGTGTTATATTGTAGAGGATAACAGATAGCAAGGTATCTGTCATAGGACATTATGGCTAAGTTTGAAAACTCTGTGCACACATAAGATTGTACACAAAAAAGCTGCAGGAAACAAAAGTGAACAGAAACAGTGTGAATGTCAGAGAGGATCTGAACCAGGAGGAATGGAAACAACCCTGTACTACCATACAGTTCATTGACAAACAGGCTGCACAGAAACATGTACATAGGTTCATGTAAACTTCTGTTCACACAGATAATAACAATGAGCAATAGATTAGCACTAATGATTAAAACATACAAAGAAATAATAATTATGAAATATAAATATTTTAAAACCCCAGTTTTAAAGTAGATAGCCATTGTGAAATATGAAACCTGTGTGGAGTTCATCGGGGTGCTCATTTTGCCCTGTGAAATAGTCATAGCACTGTACAATGGTCAACAAAAACAACAACCTGAGAAACAGATACCTGGTTATTCACACAGCCTACTGTATTATTTCTGTAAATAGATTTTGAAATTTAACTACTTAGAAATATTACATTAAATAAATGTATTACAGAGTATATTACAGTAAAGAAAAAATTCCCCAAACATACCACTCCCTCATTTACAGTCAACCTGAGGTTTAGGTTAGAAATGACTCAACAGCCTGTGATGCTGTGTGAGTCTTGGCCTTTAGGTCCTGTTTTGCTGTAGACAGACTGAGACTCCTCACTGACCTGAAATGCTGCTTGTTTTAAACCTTTACAACAGGGAACACCCACAGCAGCAGGCTGAGCTCATCATCGACAGACTCGCTGGCTGTTGCTCTTTACTGACTGACAGTGATGGAAAGTAACTATGATGTGACACACATTACATCACACACATGCTTTCACTAACCATGCAACGATGCATATAAACACCGGTGACCTAGTCAGTGGCGGCTAACCTTGACTGAGAGAACACAGTTCACTCACTCTCACTCTATGAGAAGAACACTGTTTACTGGAAAGAGGCCGCATCTGTGTATGAGTGAGAGCAGACTCATTCTCTTTCCATTCACATCCGCCATGCCATCCCAGTGATGGTCTACAACCTTCATCCCCAGTGTTCAGTCCTGGGAAGTGGATCCACAGTCAGACGTTGAAAAGCTACTGGTAAACTACACTGTTGGATCAAACGGCTAGGGGGACATTTACTAAGGACTTGCAATAAACAGTGAAATTGCATGTTCGTATTTACTAAGGAGTCACGGTGGGGTTTTTGGCGGAGAAAAGGAAGAAAGCGGCACCACCAGAGATTTGTGTCTGGTCTCATGCAGTATGTATTTTATTTTCAGGGCCTGATTTACCACCACCGCAGCAGAGGGAACTGTTGCTGAAATTTAACATCAGAAGAAAGTAGGTGTAAAGTGTGCAGCCCTGCTGTCAGTATAGCAGCTATTAGTCACCTGAGGCCTCTTCAGGTTTAAGAACATGTTTGAGGAGGGAGAGGGTGTTTGTAACTCATATCGCTCACCAAAGGAGAATGTAAGTGACTTGTACGGGTTTTCAGGTCAAAACATGCTCCAATAAAGTCAAATTCACTGGCAGGAGACCACAATTGCTGTTTCTTCAACCATATTAAAGTAAATGGTCTCATAAAGTGCTTTTCTGTGCATTCCTTCACACTCAAAGTGCTGTCACACAATTTGGCCATTCACCCATTCACACTCCCAAGCACTCACATATTCACACACTGGTGAAATCACTGGGAGCAACTGGGGGATCAGTGTTTTGCTCAAGGACATGTGGACTGGAGAAGCCAGAAATCAAACTGACAGCCTTCCAGTTATGAGACAACCTGCTCTACCTCCTGAGCCACAGCAGCCCCCAACTAAGTAGAGTTGCTGGCTCGGTCCATACGTCTGCAGCAACTTCTCAGCAACGTCTACAGCTGCATCATTGAGAGCATCTTGACCAGCTGCATCACTGTCTGGTATGGCAGCACTACTGCTATGGACCGCAAGCACCTGCAGAGAGTGGTAAAGACTGTGGAGAAGATCACCAGGACTCCACTGTCCTCTCTGCAGAGCATGTACCACCGCAGGGTGCGTAGGAAGGCTGCCTCTATCCTCAAAGATCCCACCCACCCCCAGCATGGACTGTTCGTCTCCCTACCCTCTAGCCGGAGGTTCAGAAGTGTGAAATGCAGGACCTCTAGACTGAAAAACTTTCTTTCCGACTGCCATCAGACTCCTAAACAGCTGACTCAGGAACTACCTCATGTAATTCTGCCTGTACTGTTTCCACACTCAGTTTGCACATGCATAGTTGCACACTCACTGCTGAATATTCACTGTTGCTATTTGCATAGCATACATTCTGTCTTCATTATATTGTGTTCTTGTTGTATTTTTCATTATGCTTCTTTCATTGGCTGTTTTAAAGTGCCTTAGACTTAGTGATTTGGATTTTGTGTTACCTACATATCTACTTTATATTTCACTTGTATTTTGTGGCATTCGTGTGAAAGTAAGAATTTCATTGTACAGGGAAACATGTTTTCCTCACTGTGCATAGGACAATAAACACTTGACCTTGACCAGATATAAATTGGGGGTGTATTCAAATTAACACTGCTCTGGCTGTGCTCATTTATATAATCAGTGTTGGTAAATACATCACTAAATTGAAAAATCATGGTGCAGTAATATTTTGTGAACCTGACGGTGATTTGTGACAGTTTGAGTAAATATCTCCCCTGGTCTCCATCAGCTCAGCATTCAAACCTGGAGGCGAGCTACACCAACCAGCATATCACAGGAGGTAATGCCACTAACGGAGACAAAGCTTTACAAAGCTGGTTACTGAAACAGGAGGATCACTCCCTGCATTTTTAGTGGGCCCTGACATTTGCGTCAGGTACCAGCAATTAATTGGACTGCACAGCAGAAACTAATGTTGAACTGAAACTCTTGGGAGTATGAGTTATAGACTTCTATAAATATCTGACACTTTTTGTATATCGGTAATTTTGTGGGGTCTGATGTGTCATGTATTTGTAGTTTTCGTCCAATAGATTGCCTGGAAAAATGTATGTTACTAGAGCACAAACAGCTAGCATACTGTACATTTTCAAATTGTCTTAAAGAAAGACTCTCTTAAATAATAAGTAATAAAGCCTGCTTGCCAAGCATTTCTGAGATTAAAACATACCCACATCTACATTCTAGTGGATTTTATTAAAGCTTTAAGGTCTTTTTTAATATATACATTTGCAAGGTGTACAGTAAAGTAGACAGTACATCTGCATTACTGTTTTTAAATAAAACCCTTTGTGAAGAAGACTTGCCATTAGATGTGTTTCCTATCTGTTTCCTTATTATTCAAGAAGACATCACAATTAGATTCAAATCAAATCAATTTTATTTGTATAGCGCCAAATCCCAACAAAAGTCATCTCAGGACACTTTACAAAGTAAGGTCTAGACCTTACTGTTATCAATATTATTACATAGGGAAA